GACTGTGGAAAAGACTGACAACCCCCTCAAGCTCCGGATTTGCCATCGTCTTCCTCGTGATGAACTTGCCGTTGATAAGTAGCACCCCCCATGTCCCCAAAAAGCTAACCTAGAGGGTAACTTCCCCCCTTACGAGACTATGAAATCCCCCTTTAATGGTAATTATTACCTGGTTCCCCCCCGGGGAGGGTGGTGGGCCTGTAATACAGGACTCACCCCATGTTTGGCGGCACAGGCCTTTAACAAGACTTCAGAATACTGTGTCCTTGTACAGTTAGTTCCCAGAATTATATACTACCCAGCCACTATTTTTGAAAGTAAATTTGACCCCTACTCCTCAGCCCCACGAAGGAGGAGAGAACTAGTTTCTCTCACCCTAGTCACTCTTCTGGGTCTAGGGGTGGCGGCCGGGGTAGGGACAGGGGCAGCAGCCCTCATTAAAGGACCCTCCTATACGGAAGAACTCCAAATAGCCATAGACGAGGACCTTAAAAACATAGAGCAATCCATCACAAAGCTTGAGGAGTCCTTAACCTCTCTATCTGAGGTGGTTCTGCAAAACAGGAGAGGACTAGACCTCCTATTCTTAAAGGAGGGAGGCCTTTGAGCGGCTCTTAGGGAACAGTGTTGTTTTTATGCAGATCACTCTGGAGTGATAAAGGATTCTATGTCCAAACTTAGAGAGAGACTAGAAACCCGAAAAAAAGAACGCAAATCGAGACAGGGATGGTTTAAAGGATGGTTTAATGCCTCCCCCTGGTTAACAACCCTGATATCCACTTTACTAGGGCCCCTGATTATCCTCCTCTTATTTCTGACTTTTGGGCCCTACATACTAAACCGCCTAATGAATTTCGTTCGTGACAAAATTAGTGCGGTCCAATTAATGGTCCTTCAACAATGTTACCAACCCCTCCCTGGAAATAAAGACCTCTAGTTTTAGGATTAAAACTACCCAATAGAAAAAGGGGGGAATGTAAGGTTATAGCAGAATCTCCCCCCTTGTGTGTGTGTGTGTG